CTTCACTTGTCATCTAAACTTCAAAATCTAAGAAAAGATTAAGCTATTAACTATATATTAAAATTAAAAAATAAATTAAAAGAGCACATTAACAATAATAGCGTTAATTAATTTTTATATATATTATAATTATAAATTCTTAACAGGCCCAGGCTGGCCTAACAGGCTTAACAGGCTTTTTAAAAAGCCTAAGCCTGGCCTGTTTAACTAAACAGGCCTTCAAACAGGCCTGAGCCTGTCTTTTTTGGGAAACAGGCCAGGCCAGGCCAGGCCAAATACAGGCCAGGCCATAGGCCCCTGACAGGCCGCCTGGCCTGTTTCCACCCCTAGGCACCAAGCTAGACCAAAACTATATATTGATTTTAAAAAATTATATTATTATATTTGTAAAAAGTTGCATAACTTTGTAAATATAATTAAACTGATGAAAACTCAAACTCACATTGATTATAACAAATTAATTAATTACTTATAAAGTTTAATTGCACAGAAGGACGATATAAGTAATCAAACGCTCTAAATAGTATTAAACTGGATTTTTTTTATCTGAGACTTATATTGTGAATAAGATGATTTTTTACTTATTCCTTCATATAATTTAATTAGTAGTAATTACATCAGCGTTTGCGTGCATTGTAGCATGATTTGTTTTTGGCCAACGTTTGCATGTCTTGTATGAAATCTACATATATAATGCATTATTTAGTACAATTTGTTACAAATTCTATATTAACTCCGGTTTTAAATACAAGAGCTAGTTGACATTTAATTTAGTTTTAAATACAAGATTTCAATCCACTCTGTGCTTCATATTTATCTTTTTTTAAAATAATCTTTGTAATAGTTATTATACTTACACATGTTAAATATTTCATCAAATGGTAGTTTTAGTTAATACATATGATTAGTAAAGATATTTTAAAAAATAAAACACTTATTTATTATAAATAATTAACTTAATTATTTTTCTTATTTTACACAAATTAGTCAATTAATTTTCATATTGAGAACCGGAGGTAGTATTTTATAAATGAAACCCCATGACTTGGACTAAACTTAGGAAAAACTGAACAAGTTATGCTCTTTATAGCTCGCAAATACGAGCACAACTTATTAAAAGTGCAAGAAATTAGTACTATGCAGTTGCACTTTCGTAGCAATGAATGGTTATAGTTTTAATACGTTTAAGACTTTAAGCTGTGTCATTAAACGAAGTACTGGGGGCTGTTGATTAATATAGGAGTAATACTTAAATATGTATATTCCTTTCATGGACCCTCATAATTCCACGAGGGATTAACCATCATTTGCTGGATATCCCTGTCTTAATCTTTAGTTAATCAGAGAAATAATTCTTTTAAACTTGTACTTCAGTTGTTCAGATAAATTCATAAAATATGATCCGTAGTTTTGTTTTTATGTTATTAGCATGTGCTGCGATAACTATAGCACCTGGATGCGCCCTGTTATTTAACCCGAAAACAAATGATGATAGATCGGATAAGCTGTATATTTTTTTAAGAATAATAAATTAAATTTTCCTCTTCTGAAAAAAATACTTGAGATTCTCTTTCTTATAATAATATACATATACATAAACCCTGAAGTTAATCTACTTAAGATTCTCTTTTTTCATTGGCAAAAAGAAATATAATTAAATATTTTTAATTTATGTTAAACTTACAGGTTTGACATGATTTCAATTTAGACAAAACGAGGGTAATCATAGTTCATCTTTTAATGCTCCAAATTTGTGCATGAGAAGTCGACGAGGTGAGTATTTTAATTCTAAAAAGAGGATAATTTTTAAAATAAACTGTCTGTATATAACTATATATGTCAACCTTCTATTCTATATATACAAGATACTCATCTGGCTATACTATGGAGAATGAAAACAAACAGATGCCAGCCACCTTTTGTGGGATTTGGCATTTTCAGAACCGCAGTTTTAGAAGTACTTTTTCGTAAAACGAGGTAACCTCCTCCACATATTTACTTCGTAATCCGTAAAAGCACTTCTGAAATCATAGTTTAGTTTCTATCCAAATACTCCCATAATGTCCATGGAGCAGCCGGGAATGGGAGGTTGTTGGCTTGATGATGAAGGACATTGGCTTGATGGTTTTATGTTTCACATTGGCAAAGGCAATAGTTTCCATGCATAAGTTTGGGCCGTGCTTTGGGGCCTAAAAAGAGCCTGGAATATGCATTGGAGATGGGTTGTCATCGAAATTGATTGCCGAGAGCTTGGAGACATCCTGAACACAGGTTGGCACGATGACCATCCAGAAAAGGATCTGCTTGCTGAGATTCAATGGTGGCCTGAAAAGGAATGGGACGCAAACGTGGCTTGGTGTGGACGTGATGCGAACATGGCGGCTGACTCTTTGGCCAAGAACTCGCTAAGTGTTGCTGAGGGAATAAATTTTCTTTACTCTCCTCCTGATTTTGCTGTGAGTTTTATTGTGTCTGATGTAGCTTAGTTGCTCTCTGCTGCTTGTAATTAAAAAAAAAAGAAAAAAGAAACATACAAATTCAGAAATGTGTATTTAAAGTGCATTTCAATTTCAATGATAGAAATTAAAGAAACAAGCATCTAATTAAGACTGTCCTGAAAAACTCTAATTGGATGATCAAACAGTAATAATCTATATATGTGTGTGTGGATGTTTAATTTAATTTCCTGCGTCATAATCAGCATGAACTCAAAATAATAATAACATTTTCATTCTTTTATAAAATGGTTAAACATCATTAATTGGCTTTAATGTTTGATGTGTGGGTTTGAATTTTATGCCCAGCTCGCTCTGGGAAAAAAATATTGACTTAGATGTGAATATTTCATTCAAATTTGTAGGAATCAATTCAATTGTGTGCTAGGATACCTCTCAGGCTGATTAGATTGCTACGCATTGTGACGTAAGTATCCATCAACATAAAATATTACTACCTCCTGTTTTTCATTTTTAATATAATATTTAATTTATAATTTAATTTAAATTATAAATTAAATATTATATTAAATAACAGCGGTAGTAATAGATGGTAAACCTCTAATTTTAATATCTCTCTCTCTGTTTTTTTGTTTTTTGTTTGGCCATTTCTCTCTTTTTTTGTTACAGCATAGGTATCCTCTTATTAGAGATACTGTAAGATATTAAATGCGGGTACCTCTCATGACAAGAATTTGAATATTAATTTATCATATTATGAGAGATTAACTTTTTCTGGTAGAGCTAACTCTATTAGTATTTTTTTTTTTTGTTGGAACCAAAGTTGGAGACTACAGTCAATGTATCTGAGGTGGGCCCAATTCGAATGAGAGTGCCGACCTCCTTAAAGCGTGTCGACCCATATAGGCTTTAGACTAGGTCGACCTATTTAAGTCTTGGACGCCTAAATCATTTGGGCCCATACGGATCGCGTGAGGCCCCCACTGGCCTCATTTGTTGTGGGCTCCATGTTGACAAACGCATCAGTGCATCACACCATCCGTACGTATATTTTATAACGCATCTTCTCATAGCATTTACTATTTTACATTTAATATGAGACTGTTTATTTACAGTATTATTTTTATTTTCTTCTTAAATATCATTTTATTTAATATAAATTAATAAATAAAATACTCTATTGGCTCAAACAAAATTTTAAGAGTATTAACTAAATGGATGGACCAATTTTCAAAATTATGACGAGTGCTATACATTTGTACATAATTTAATACAGGTTGTTTTTTTATTTATCACTCATGAATGATGAGTTTCATACTTTTATATTTGTAGAGAGTTTCATATTTTCAGTGATACGTTAATTGATGGTTAAAACTCTATTTTGGTTCCATCTAAGTTGTTTTCAATATCACTCCTATAATTTTTGTTCTAATAAAGCTTTACAACTTTTTGAAATACTTCAAATCAGTCCTATCAAACGACTTTCCCATTATTTTCATATATTTATTTAATTAATAAGCTCCACACGGATAGCAATTTTGGTATACCTCACCGTCCTTTATCTCCTTGACAAAAAGGCAGCAAATGACGAAGAAAACTGAATATTGGTCCATCTAGTTTTGCTTGTAATTCTCATTTTGAGTTTTTTTTTTTAATACATTAGAAGAATTTTCATTTTGAGTTAATGATGTTCTGTATTTACTAAAAAACGAACACACACACACACATATCAAAAATAATTTTACCAATAAATAGCAAAAAAAAAAGACTTGAATTCATCTCTTGAATTAATCAACACATGATTGGGAAAAAACTAATGAGACACAAACGAGCAACGAATCCTGGGCCTAAACTATTGGGCTTTGGCGCTACCCCAAACAGGCCTAAATAATACAATTGGGCTTGCACTAGGCTTCCGCGAGACTCTGATCTCATTCATTACCCAAAGGAAAAACAAAAAGGGCAAATATGGATGAGTGTAATGTTCCAGGCTCCATTCCAACTTCAGTAACGGCCGCGTCCTAGGAAAAATTAACCATGAGTTGAGGAACTACTAATTACTAACCCTCACTGCTAGCCGGGTTAACCCCATGAAGATAAGCTCAAAATTAATTTAATTAAGGTTTAATTACTTTCTCACCCATTTGTTAGACCTAATTTCATCATCACCCACTGGAACAAGTCCTTATAATTTCTATTTATCAACAACTACGCACAATCTCACACCAACCTTACACAGCCCATGAGCATTTTTCCCTTCAATGCCTCGCAAGAACGAGCCTCTTCATTACTGAAATCCCCAAAACGCCATCACATAACTTGTCTAGGGTTAGAATCTCAGCCCTAATTTCACAAGTGGAAGAAAAGGATTAAGTTTTAACTGCCTATAAGCGGTAACATCGAGGGGATGACCGGGAAATGGAGGTGAAAAATTACTGCCTCCAGCACCCCGTTTCTGGTTCTCTATTTTTAAGTGTGATTATATCCCCATGTATATCAGATTGTGCACTCTCCCCCCCTCCCCTCTCCCCCCCCCTCTTTTATACATTGTGGCTTCTCTTTTGCATTCTGTTTCTTCTCGGAAATTGAGAGAGAGGGAATTTGAAGTGAGAAGCTTCGTTTCAGAATTTTTGTATTCGCTCCATCATAGATTGTTGTTGACTTTGAAGATTTACACAGACCTCTGCCATACACACAGAGAGCTTCTGTTTTTGTTCTCTCTGTTTTCTATCATATACACATATTGGAAAAAGAAAAGCTTTTTGTTTGGGACTCTGCAGTTCGGGAACTTCACGATCACTTTGTAATTTGCCGTCTCCTTGTTTTTAATTATATTTCTGCTTTAAATTATGCTGACTTTGCTTTACATTGAAGTAATGCAAAATTTGCTTTTGTTCTCTCGTTCAGGATTTGGCTCTTCGAAGGTGATCTGTGTCAAAGGTCGGGTTAGAATTCTTGCTTATGTTCTCGTATCTGTTTGTTTCTTCTGGTTAGATCTGCTGTTTGCTTCTTGCTTTTGTTCAAATGAGCAACCCTGGTCTGCAGGATTTTGAATTTTATCCGAGTTGGATGCATGATTCGGTGTTGAAGAAGGGTGAGGCGAGGTTTTTTCCTTGTTGGATATGAAGAGGTCCAGAGATGATGGTTATATGAGCTCTCAACTTAAACGGCCCATGATGTCTTCCCGGGGAGAAACGTGAGTTTATACATCTTTGTCATCTTCAATTTTCTCTTTGTTGGATTATGCTCATGTCTATATTTTTGTGCTTGATCAAACAATTGCATCTTTCAGTAAGTGATTAACTCTTTTTTTTTGGTACCATGATGATTTTTTCTTGTGTGAGATTGACGAGTCTAACCGCTGATCCATTTCGATAGTTGTTTATGTCATCTTTGTTCTGGGTTTAGTCTCATTAAAGCTATTTCTCCTTTTCTTTTTCAAACTTGACTTTGTGAGATATGATCAGATGCTTCTTTCCCTAAACTACATTCGAATCTAATTATTTTTCTGCTATAGAGGGGAAAAATAAAACTGGCAATTGTACTCCTTACGCTTTTAACCTTTATAGTCGTGCAAACCGTACAATTGTTTTTGGTTAAAAAGAAACTTGTTTTTGCGCTCTCAGATTTATCATCTGCGTGATAATTTTCTGAGTACTTCATTTCTCTTTTAATTCTAACGTTTTCTGACTTTTTGGAATGAAGATCGGGGCAGCCCCAGATGATGGATGGAGGTGCTCAAAAACTCACAACAAATGACGCCTTAGCATATCTCAAGGCAGTAAAGGAAATTTTTCAAGATAAAAGGGAAAAATATGATGATTTTTTAGAAGTCATGAAGGATTTCAAGGCTCAAAGGTTTAGTCATGTTGCATCGTTCTTCTTCCCCTACTCCCACTTCTAATTCCCATCATTTTTTTGTTGTATGTACAGCGGGCGGGAAGATTTTTTTTTTTTTTTTAAGTGAAAATTGATTTCTCTGTGTATGTGTGTGGCTCACTTTTTTGGATGATTTGTAGGGTTGATACTGTGGGTGTCATAGCAAGAGTGAAGGAACTGTTTAAAGGGCACAGAGATCTAATTTTGGGATTTAACACCTTCTTGCCGAAGGGGTATGAAATCACACTTCCTTTGGAGGATGAACAACCTGTACAAAAGAAGCCTGTTGAATTTGAAGAGGCTATAAATTTTGTCAACAAAATTAAGGTAAAATAATTAATAATTGAAGCATTACATTTATGGTCCACCACAAGCACACACATACAAATAAAAAAATGTTCAAATAAGAGAGTTGATAATTTTAACTCTGATGGGTTTTTGCCTTGAAGTCTCGCTTTCAAGGTGATGATCATGTCTACAAGTCGTTTCTAGACATATTGAATATGTACAGAAAGGAAAACAAGTCTATCTCTGAGGTCTACCAGGAGGTATGTTCATTGCTTTTTGGGACTACATAATCTTGTTGGAGTCAGACCTGTTCGTTTATTATATTATTTTTCCCTCTTGAAGGTCCTAGTTTCCTTTTTCATGCGCATTTTAATCACATACTGGACACTTTTCAGGTTGCTTCACTTTTCCATGACCACCCAGATCTTCTTGATGAGTTTACTCACTTCCTTCCTGATACTTCAGGAACGGCATCTACACATTATGCTCCTTCCCGGAGCTCTATGCTTCGGGATCGGGGCTCTGCAGTGCCAAGGCAAATGAGTGTTGAAAAGGTTTATCTCTCTCCAAATACTTAAGCTTGTCTAATCTCATAATGGATCATCAAGTTAACTTTTGGCTTGTCTCCATGTCAGAGAGAAAGGACTGTGGATTCTCATGGTGATCATGACCTTAGTGTTGATCGTTCTGACCCAGATCATGACAGAGTTGTGATTAAGGCAGAAAAGGAGCAGAGGAGGCGTGCTGAGAAGGAAAAGGACCTCAGAGAAGAGAGGGATAGGAGAGATGGGGAACGGGATGATAGAAATTATGGGCCTGATAGTAGCCGAGATTTTAACATGCCGCGCTTCCCCCCCAAACGGAAATCTGGTCGTAGGATTGATGACACTGGTGCTGAACCATTGCATCAAGGTGGTGACTCTGATGAAAATTTGAGCATGCGCCCGATGTCATCCGCCTGTGATGACAAAAGTTCTGTGAAGAGTAAGTGCATAACAAATTCTGGTCTTCAATTTGTGTGCTAGGTTTTGAGTGTTTTTATTTTTCTGAAAAAATGTCTGACTTTTTCTTTGATGAACAGTGTTCTGGCAGTTAAAATAATATGTTTGGAATCAGTCTCATGCTCATTTGCTAAAGAACAAATGAAAAAAAGAAAAGAAAAGAAAAGAAACTCGTATTCTACACTTGAAAATTCATTATCTAATGGAAAGACTTGTCTTTACTTTTTATCCATTTCTAATGCTAGGAGGTAAAATTATTAGAAAGTAAAAATAAAATGCCATGAGCATATTGGATTTTGATCATCTTCATTTCTTAAGTGTGATGTATTCTTTGTTGATTTCCATGACCAGCGGCGTTTAAGCAACAATAACTTTTTTCCTTTTTCTAATTGTACAAAATTGTTTTCCAAATTTAGTTGTTATTCTGTTTTGGGGAACAAGTTTATTTTGCAATGTCTTGTATCTCTTATACACTTGGTTATTTAACTTAAATTTTTGTCATGCCAGGTATGTATAGTCAAGAGTTTGCTTTCTGTGAAAAAGTCAAGGAGAAATTGCGAAATCACGATGTTTATCAGGAATTTTTGAAGTGTCTACATATCTATAGCAGGGAAATAATTACCCGGCAAGAATTGGAATCCTTGGTATGGATCAAATGCATAATTGGCGTTTTCTCTTCTGCTGAGTTAATTATTGTGTTCTGTCAATATGAGAATGAGAAGCTTAATGAATACAGTGATAGGATGAGAGATGAACAGTCAAGATGAAACAATGGATTATCTTATTTTATACTTTTGAATAACATCAACTTTTTATGCAGCTTTTGTTTTTTCTGCTTTGACCATTCATTTTTTTGACTCAGAGTCAGAGCTGGGGAACCTTTTCTTGCAAGACACTTCTCCCACGTATCTGTGTATGCACAAATTCTAGGAAATGGAAGAACAATTATGGTTGACTCCTGCATGATTTATGATCAGTTTTCGGTGCCACAGATGACTTCAATTTGAACAATTTTCTGACCTTTGATTTAGCCAAACATTTCAATGCAAAACTGAGAGAAATAAAAAGACTAATGAACATGTTTTAATGTTTTAGAAAATTTGATGAAAAGAGAATGAGGATAGAAATTGATGATCAATTGTCTTACCGTGACTTGTTCTTCAAGACAACTCAGAATTATGTCACTTGGTTTAATATAAACTTGATCTGACTTCTATAGTATTTACATAGTGTCAACTGATTCCCTTGAGTCTCTCAACTATAGACGGGCAGTGGAAATATGATATGACAGCTAATGCGTGGTAAATTGTTCAATCAGGTGGGTGATTTACTGGGAAAATATCCAGACCTTATGGAGGGGTTTAATGAATTTTTGTCCAGATGTGAGAAGAATGGTAATATTTGAACTATTGAATTTATTTTATAATTCTCTGAAGTTTAATGTTCATAAGTGGTTCTCATTAAATCCATTCATGCAGATGGATTCCTTGCCGGTGTAATGAATAAAAGTATGTAAGATTGTCCATTCATTTTCTTAGCTGAATGATAGATGCTTCCCTTTTTCTTGCTCTGCTCTCCAGCTCGCTTGAACTACTTCAGCTCCAACTTCTGGTCCAAACTTTTCTAACTATTTTGAATTTGGCAGAGTCCTTTTGGACTGAAGAGATTGCATCTAAGCCAGCAAAGGCAGAGGACAAGGATAGAGATAGAGCTCGAGATCATGATAGGGATGATCGGGTTAAAGAAAGAGATCGCGAACTGCGAGAAAGGGACAAATCTTCTCCTTTTATTAGCAAGGATGTATCAGGTCCTAAGATGTATCCATTTTCCAGCAAGGATAAATATTATGCAAAGCCTATAAACGAGCTAGACCTTTCTAACTGTGAGCAATGCACTCCCAGCTACCGTCTCCTACCAAAAAATGTACTCTTTACTGAGTCTCTTGGTTTCTCTTTCTTATGGAATGTGTAAATGAGATTCTGTTGCTGATTGTGTTCCTGTTCTTTTATATCATGCAGTATCCAACACCCACGGCCAGCCAGAGAACTGAGCTTGGTGCTGAATTATTGAATGATCATTGGGTTTCTGTTACTTCAGGAAGCGAAGATTATTCTTTTAAGCACATGCGCAAAAATCAGTATGAAGAGAGCCTGTTTAGATGTGAAGATGACAGGTTAGAGTTTTGTTCTTATTTGCCACTTTTGAAATTTTTATTTTGTTGACAATTTTTTAAGCGGTCAAGGCCACCATTGTCATGTTGTTCTGCTTTTCAATTTAATTTTGTGTTGATTAGTGGAAGTAATTTCCAAAAGCTTTCTAGATGTGCAAACTTGCATTTGCTGACCTTTCCCCTCTCATCCTCATTGGCAGGTTTGAACTTGATATGTTGTTAGAGTCTGTGAATGTGACGACAAAGAGAGTGGAAGAGCTCTTAGAAAAGATCAATAATAATATTATTAAAGCAGACAGCCCTATTCGTATTGAGGAGCACTTGACAGGTCATAGGATTTATTATTGGAATTTCATAGAGCACCATCATACAATCAGATTTTTCTTGTTTGGGATGTTTTCCATATTCTGATAGGATTTTTTTCCTCTCTCTGTTCTTTTAGCTCTAAATCGAAGGTGCGTTGAACGATTATATGGTGATCATGCACTTGATGTGATGGAGGTGTTGAGAAAGAATGCACCTCTAGCTTTACCTGTCATATTAAGCCGTTTGAAGCAGAAACAAGAAGAGTGGGCTAGGTGTCGTGCAGATTTTAATAAAGTTTGGGCTGAAATATATGCTAAGAATTATCATAAATCTCTTGATCATCGCAGCTTCTACTTTAAGCAACAGGATACAAAAAGCTTGAGCACAAAAGGTAATATCTTAGTAATCCTTCCAATAAAATGGGATACATGAGGCTTGTCATATTTAAATTACAGAGTCTGCTTTTAGGCTGCCAAATTATTAACTTTGTTTTAACAAAGAAACATTAACTTTGGATATCATCCTCGTTCTTTTTGTATGAAATGTAGTTTTTCTGTTAACACCTCTACAATTCCTGGCGTTGGTTTCTTGCTCTTTTCTATCATATCCACTTATTTCCCTTCCCCCGTCAAAACAAATGCTGGTTGGAACAATTCTTTGTGCATTATATTTACCACAACATGCATTTGGCCTGGATATCGGTTAATAACATCCGTTAATCACAACTTAAGGTTATTTTTGGCAGTATATTCTTTCTTAAATGCAGTGGATTATTCCATATATTTGAGGTCCTTTTCATTCACCTGATTTTTTTTTCCTTTTTTCCCTCTCCTACAGCCTTACTGGCTGAAATAAAAGAAATTAGTGAGAAGAAGCACAAAGAAGATGATGTTCTTCTTGCAATTGCTGCTGGAAATAGACGACCTATTATTCCAAATTTGGAATTTGAGTATCCAGACCCAGATATTCATGAAGATCTGTATCAACTCATAAAATATTCCTGTGGAGAAGTTTGTACAACTGAACAGTTGGATAAAGTCATGAAGATTTGGACAACGTTTTTAGAACCAATGCTTGGCGTTCCTTCTCGACCCCAGGGTGCTGAGGATACAGAAGATGTTGTCAAGGCTAAGCATAATTCTGTGAAAGGTGGCACTGGCAATGCAAGTTTTGGTGGCAGTGATAGTAGTCCTGTTGTAGTTGCAAATGTAATGAACTCAAGACAATTAAATACATCTGGAAATGGGGATGAAAGTATTTCATTAGAAAAGTCGAATTCCAAGACTGAAACTTTGGATTACAGTAAACGTCATGAGGCAACGCATGTAAATTCATCCATGCATGATGAGGTATCAGTCGCCAACAAACAAGGTCATTCCAACGAGCGGTTAGCAAATGTGAATGCCTCGATGGCTTCTGGAATGGAGCAAAGTAATGGGAGAACAAATATAGATAATGCATCAGGTTGGTAACTTGCATTAAGAAAGTTAGCATTACTTCTTAGTTACTCTACCCTTTTTTTAGAAACTTTGGGCCTGTTTGTTTCTGTTTTTGGTTTTTTTTTTTTTGGTTCTCAAAAAAATTTTGTAAAATTTTTCTATAAAACGAGTTTTGGAAACAAAAAAACAAAACAATCTGTTTGGATAATTGTTCAGAAAAATTAAATTGAAAATAAACATACTAAGACCGGAGGTTGAAGCTTTGATGAGAACTCAAATCCTCAAATGGGAAAAAAGCCATCGAGCGCAAAAGAAAGAGTTTCACAATTTTTCCAAATAAAAATAAGAAATGCAAAAACAAAAACAAGAAAACAACTAAAAATTGTTTTGGTTTTTTAGTTTTTAAAAACAGATTTTTTTTTTTGAACACTTAATTAAAAACAAGTTACCCAACAAGGTTTTTTTTTTTTTGAGAACAAAAACAAACAAGGCCTTTATTATCGGGGTTCCCTTTTGATTTTCAACTGTAGCATTCTGAGAATGAATGGGCCTGAGATCCATCTTTTCTTTCTTCCCCCCCCCCCCGGCGGCGGCAAGGGCTTACTGCTACTCCATCGAGACCTGGTAATGTTGCAGCTGAGGGAGGACATTTTCCTTCAACAGAGGTATGGCTTAACTCTTTGAAAAAATCCTGTATGTTTCATTTCAGTTGAATGAATATTGTCAGGTTTTAACTTAATCGTGCTTAG